TTTTCAAGTTTTAACAAAATAATAGGACAAGAAGAATATATGATTTCATTTCAATATTTAAGCAAAAATGTTTGAAAGAAAAGAAAGGGAAAAAAGTTGAACCCAAATTGTGATCATTTTTGTTTCGCTTTTTTCCTTTGTTTCTCCAGTTGTTCAGATACATATTTCAGCATACATTGAATATCAGCACAAAGATGATAATAAATGGGTTCTTATTGTTATTATAATGGAACAAAGAAGAATAAAAATGGAGAAAAAAATAATCGAAGGAAAGAAGAAGAAAAAGTTGAAGGAAAACTCTGGTAAGAAAAAGCTAACAATGATAATCAGAGTATTTCAAGGTTTCACCGAGTTCCATGCAACTCAATGAAACATGATACTTTTCTCATACAATGATACCAAATGGGTGATAATGTTATTCCCTTCACCTTATGTTACAACTTACTTCCGTTAGTTGAATGTCAATCATTATCATTAAACCAATGATTATACTTATCATTATTATCATCGCCATTATCAACATAATCATTACCAATTCCAGGGAATTTATCTCAATATTTGTGTTTAGATGTAAGATGAACACAAATGATGCAGACAACTAACTCGAGATAATAATGTAAACAAATGTCACATTTATCTAGACAATTGTTTCATTCCATCTCATGATGAATCTCAATCAACGCAATTACAGATTATTGCTATTCCATCATTTGTTATCCTTTTTCCACCTCATCTTTCACCATTACTTGGGCATAAATATTAATCAATGAAAATTCTTGGACTAACCAAGAAGATTCTTGTTTCTGTTTCTCAAAGAACATCATTTCTATTCCGTTTTCAGCAAGTTTCACTTAATTGTGACTAATTGATTCACAATGGTCAACATGAGATGCATGAGGCAATTCACAACTCAAGACTTCTCAATTCAATCTCAACTTAAATATTGAACCTGGTGTGAGTACCCTACGGGAGTTGAGGTCACAAACCAGGTATCACAGGTTGTGGTACACCTTAGAATTATCGATACATCATTAATTCATTTATGGTGAAAACTTACACTCATTCAGCTCAATTAGGGCTCACCTGATTGATTTTTTTGAGTGGAATGCTTATCGAAATCAAAATCAAAATTAAGGCAAATACACACACGATTAACATGACTTACTTTTAGCAAATACTAGTATAACTAGAGCTTTAAGCTTTTGATCAAGAATAGATTCAATCGATCAAAGCATGAGATGTCTAGATCCAACATGCGAAATCGATCGATTTTTTATTTTTACAAACAAATTGTCAGAAAAACTTGAATTTCTAACACAAAAAAGTATCACAGACCGGGCTTGAAAGAGATCGATCTTAAAATCGGATCGGAATATCACTACTCCGATGGCAGTTAATGGCTACAGTGAAATACCATTACTCTCATAGCTTCTTACACGGTTAAAGGGAAGTGTCTCTCTCACTTGGGTTTGCCTCAAGGTCCGGGATGGCCTCCTATCATTCAGTGTTAGAGCAGAGTGACGATTCTTCTGTTGGTAAGAAGATAAGGGAATAATTGTAAATCGAAAAGTGTAAGTGAAAAAGAGTTTAGAGTTGACCCCTTGCACTGGTTATAGCCAAAGAGTAGAGTTCTTTACTCTTTGGTCATAGCTAATTATAGTTTCGAGTAAAAGTTCCGGAAAAAAGACTTGAATAGAAAATGAACTTTTTATTGAATTCAAATTATGAAAGAAAACCCTTGTTTTATGTTACATTCAACTCGACCTTTCATTAATATGAAAAATTTGACCATTGGATCAATTTCGAGTTTCTATTTTGTTCTTTATTCATTAGCATTTTGATTTTTATTATCACTTTTTTTCTTCTTCAATTAACCTTGTAATTTTAGTATTCAAATAGCTGTTTGACATTAACCTTGATAGAAAAATTTACATGAGAAAAACTCAATTGATTTTGAATTAATTTTTATTTCTATTTCTATTAATATCTGATGAAAAAATGGAAATTATTTTTAAATGCAATTCCGGACAAATATTTATTGCAATATAAGAATGATAAAAACGTTGAAACAAAGTGATGGTATAAAAATATCGTTTGACGAAATAAATATTGATTATTTCATTTTTAATGTTTCAATTTAAATTAATTTACTTAAAATAAACTGATAATGTTTGTTTAATGAAGATAAATAAAATATTACATCGACAGAGATCATTGAAATTGATGAAAAAATATCCTCTTTACTGATTCAATTTCAATATTCAAATTAATTTTTCATGAAACTATCTGATTACTTTAATATCCTGGGATTTGCATACAAAGCTAGAGATAGAAAATGAACTCAAAATAAAAGTATAATCTTTCAACGATATTGAACCAAATGAACATTTTCCTTGACCTTAAACACATTAATAGACAATTATTTCTGATAATTTCAACAATTAGAAGAAATATTTTACAGAAAATGTAATTTGAATCTTCTAAATGAAAGTTCAGAAGTGAATATTGAAGTTACATTCATCTGAATATTATTCACTCCCAGCATTGGAAGCATTTTGAATTGGAGATAAAGTTGTGTTTCGTTGATTAATTTGGCCAATGATTGTAAATTGTTTTGATTTGATTTGAGTTGCTCATGGAATGTTTTGATTTCTTCATGATTGGAATAATCTGGCGATTGAAATTGATTTGGTCACCTTTAATGGACACTGCAATTGATTTTGTTTCTTAATTAATGGTGAAAATTGGTTAATCACAATTGATTAACTGTCAAAGTAATTATAGTTAAAGCGTAAAGTATCATTCAGATGAACAACAGCAAACAGAGTTTTGTTTTGCTTTTGTTTTTTCCTTCTTATTCCTTGCTTTTCCCTGTTCGCGTTGTTGTTGTTGATTGTAATTCTGAATTGCTATTTAGGTTAATGTGGTGATATGGTTAGCTGATGAAGGAAACAGTCAGAGTCAAACAATGAACCTTTCAGAATCAGGTTAACATGAGTTACAGAAATAATCTTTACATGCCAATGGCAAAGACTGTAAGTTAAAGATTGATTTCATGTTGAGTAGGTTTTGTTTGTGCATCTTCATATGCAAACACAGCGAGGTAAAGATGAAAGGCAAGGATTGAAATGAGGAACCAGAAAGGATGATAAAGATGATGAACTTGTAATCAAATGAATCCCGTTTGGTTCATTTCAACTTGTGAATTTGTTGGTAAGAAATTGAATGAAAGAAGAAGAAAAAAAGTGTTTCGAGTTTAGCTGTTGAGCAAGAATGAATCAGGTTAATTGGAGCCTTTAGAGGATGAGACAAAAGATGGATAAGATGAAGGAGTTGAATGACTGTTGGTTAATATGCTTAAGTAACGATTTATGGGCGATGTTGAGGAATGCAGACTTGGCATTGAGTCTAGTTCAAGTCTAAAGATTTTTCGTCTCTTCTCTGCTTTTTTATTATTTTTGCTTCTGACTTTTTGTCTTGTTTGTTTGTTTCCGCAGGAGTTTTCACAATTGATTGGGTTAACTAAATCATACATTTATGCCAATGTAATAATGTTCATGAAGAGACACAAATAGATTTTGCTTTCAATCCAAAGTTAGTGTTGAAAGTTGTTGCAAGAAAAACATTTGATTTTATTATTCCCAGTCGTAGTTATTTGGGACAATTAAGAGTCGATATAGTTTGGTAATTAAGGTGAGTTGTAGTCTAATCAGAAATTAAACTTGTTTTGGTCTTTTTTATTAATGATAATGTACTTTTTACGAGTTTCATCGTTTTGTTATTGTAAGCTTTTGTTGAAAATTTGCCGTTCTATTGGGATTTAGATTTTTCTTGTCTAACAATTTAGTTTAAAACTTGAAACTAGAGTTTAAATAATGCTCATTAGCACCAATCAACTGAAAATATGAGCAAAATATCAACTTGAGTTGAGTCAAGTCGACGCCATTGAACAGCAAGAAAGTTGAATCACACCGAGCTTCATCTTGATTGAAAACGAATGTAAAATTAAACAGTTTACTCTCTTATTTCAATCATTAGACAACCCAATCAACTATTAGATTAATGTTGAAACGACAAATTGATGATGAAAATAGTTGAAGGCATTGATAGACCGATGAACAATACAAGAGTAAAATGATTTGGACACATTTTACAAGTGAAGAAAAGGTAATCGAGAAAAGTGAGTGAATTTGAAATGTTATTACCAATGTAAATATGGTGTATAATGTTATTAGTTTCATAAACTTGTTTGATAAATGATTGAATAATAGCCATTTGTAAGATTATTTCCGTTGCCATCAAGGGTAGCCTTACATCGTTAGCTTGTTTCATGCAAATAAAAAAAGGATAACTTGAAAAGCATTGAAGGTTTGAGCAACAAAAAAATGGTTCAACAACAACGCCATCAAATAATAATTTGTATTTACCTTCAAAATGATTTCAATGGTTAAGCTCAAGGCTTAATATTTGGCTTTTATTTTTCCCTTTAACACAACTTTTACTGAATCAATTTTGATCATTTTACTCTTTTCCCGATACTCAGCATTCCTCTGCAACAGAAGGTTTCATCTTTTAACAATCTTTCAATCGTTAAATGGGCTCAAAACTCAGGCCATTTTATCATCAAATTACTTGTTCTACCTTTTTTGGACCTTTTCATGGGCTTCGTAGGTTTACCAGATAATTATTGAGATAAGGTGAAAATGTTTTTAAGGTTTACTCGAGACTTTTGTTTTCACTGAAAGTTTCTGGTTAATACTTTGATCAATATTTTCATATTTTACATTGTAATCAATTGTGATGATAATAATGGTAATAGATTGTTATTTTCAATATTTTTTGTTTTCTTTTTTTTCAATGCAAACCTTGTAATCTTATTGAACAATCTTAATGTGATTTAATAATAATAATAATAATATTTATTGCCTATTACTGATATAAAATGAATTACCGTTATTAAGATGAACCTGAACAAAATGTAATCATGAAAAGTAAAGGAGTTCACCTTTTTTTGTCTGTTTTAATGCTTTATGGATAACCATTTTTTGTTAGCTTATGTTAACCATTTTAAGGAAATAACAGAGCAAATTATTGAATCTTATTTAATATTAAAACAGTTTTGTTTTTTTCCACTTTAATGGCTCCCATTTTAGCCTGATCCAGTCTTGGATAATGATAAGAGTCCAGAGTTAATCACGATTGAATTATGAAGTTTACCATTTTTGATTTATTATCATTGAACCAAGGCAACTTATCTAATTAAAAGTCACTCCCTGTGCATTTCACTTGAAATTATTAATCAAAGAGTTGAGTGTTAATACATTTCAATGGCATGGTAATGGTTATTGGAAATGTTTCAATTGCTGTTGATCCACTTGCCCCTTGCAATTGAATAATGGACTCAGTGTTCATCATGGTAAAGCATCTACCATCTGAAGCAAGTGTTGAATTGTGAGGGAAATGAGTATAAATCGAGATTCTTTTTTTTTGTAATTTTTTCTTCTTCTCCTTCGACTTTTAACAGCTCCAATCTTCATCGCCATCTTTGCCATCTTTTTAGTTTATCATCAACTTTTATGGCAATATTTTGCTGTCATGGTTCCTTGAGCGTGTCAGGGTCAATAAAGTTGCTATGAATAGAAATGTTCAATCCTCGGTTCTGAATACAAATTTTTTTCTTCTTCTCATCACCATCAGCATCATTTTGCTTTCAACTCTTCCTCTGTGTTTGTCTTCTTGTTTTATGTTTGAACATTACATCTGATTGCAAAGTGTATTTTCATCATTTCCCATTTGACTCTTTTGTCTCAAACCATTGAGCACAATTAAACTGCATTCTGTTCATCAGCTTGTTTACTTGTTACCACCGTTCATTCAATAGGAATTTAATCTCACTTTTGCTTTTGTAATATTACCAAACACTTATCAACATTGGTAATTGAAAATTATCATTCTCATCGTTAGATGGAAAGTCCTGTTCCTCATTGAAACTTTCACTTTCAGTGTTTAAGTGAATCCAAAGAGAGAATCAGCTTTCGTCTTTCAAAAGGCTTCAATTTTTATATTTACACGATTAAGCTCGATGCCAATCAAATGAGAAAGGAAAAGACATCAATTTAAATGCTCCGGTTTGAGTGAAATGTTTAACTTGGCCTGGCTTTAAATGCAAGTTTCATTGCAAAATCTCCTTGTATCCATTCCCTGTAGTACTTTAAGACTTTAAAAATCACAGTTGACTCGATCTGAAAATATAAATGTTGATAGAAATCAATTTGCGTTAAATTATTATCCATTTTGAACTTACTTTTCCTTGTAAATGCAATTAACTTAGAATAGCAAAACACACTTAAGACACAAGTAAAACGCTACGAACAGCAAACATTGATTGACATTGGATTATATTGACTAGTTAACAGTAAATTCACAATTAGTCAGAGTCACGAACATGTTTAATAATAATTGTAACTTTCGTTAATAAATATTTTGTATTACCATATGTTAAGTTCAAAGATTTTGATGGGTGACATCTAACGGAATAAAAAGGATAAATTTAGAGACATTTTTCGCTTTAAGATACATTACAATTAATTAAAGATGGAAGCCAATCTTTTTTTGTGTAATTTCGGAAATCAGTAAATCAGTTGACTGCCTAATGTTGATGTCGCGTTAAATATTGAAAAAGCAGAAAACCTTAGTCTTGTCGCTGTTTAATGATTTACATATAATTGAACATATAAGCATGTTTAATAAACAACTCGATAAGAATCGATTGAAAGACTTCATTCACAGTCTGTTTGGTCGTCTGTTTCAATTCGGTAGACAACAAGAGAACTACGTTATGGAAAGAGATCGATCAATTTCGTTAGTATTAATAGCTGATAGCGTGCTGTCAATTGCCTCTGTGACCAAACAAAAATTATGCTTCCATTTTACGAACAAATAATAATGATTTATTTGATGTAAAGAGACAAAATGTTTTTATTGTTAAATAGTCCACAAGATGGCTCTGTTCATTGTAAAATAAAAGCATTTTTTGTGGGAAAATTGAAAGTGTAATGATGAGCGTAATCAAAGTCAACTGTTACTTTGATACTTTGATATTTTGATATTTTTACCTCCGATTAACAAGTGATACATTATCTAGTGACAATATAAGATTATTTGATAGTCCAAGTTGTGTCTGAGTTATGGTCAATCCAACAATTTAATGGATAAACATCATCATTATTGCTTCTTGTTTCCATTTTTAGACTTCTTCTTGACTTTCTTAACAGCTTTACCAGTAAAGGTAGTTAATGGTGAAAATTGTATAATATCAAAGACTGAGTAACCATTTATTCATTTATAGTTTATTTATTTATCATATCATTATTATTCTCAATGTGAGTCTCTCTGAGACTTAAACTACCATTAGCTTGAAAACATTTGACTAATGTATTATATGCAAAACTAACGCCTCATAATTCAATTGACCTCATAATAACATTTAAATATAATACATTTATATATTTATCAAAATACACTTTTTGCTTATATTTTTATTTCCTCCTTCATTTGTCTTAGTAAATTACCATTGCACTCTTCATCTAATCAGTAACATATTTATACACATGAATATCTGCATAATGGTGTAAAGATTGGCTGATAGCTGGAAAAATAAAGAGTGAAAAGAGAGAGAGAAAGATTAACGCAAGATTCAGAGATTCATTGTAATGCATGTTGGAATCAAACAAAAAATAAAAACGATTGTTGTACAAACTGAGTCAAGATAAATAAATAGAAATCAAAATGATGATAATGACATTAATAATGTTCACAATTGGGAAACGAGGAAAAAGATTGTTTACTCTGATGGATGGGAAAAGATGAATAAATCAACTTGGGATAAACATTAATGAACCCAACAAACAGCATAAATCATCGAAAGATATCATCAGTAAATCATCTATTAATATAAACCATTGTATCGTCTTTGTCCACCATCACCATTATCACCGAAAAATGGATCAAAATAGCAAACTCGAGGGAAGACTGAACAGGAATAATGTTGCATGTGATTGCGTTTGAAAGTCCAATTTGAATGAAGACAGGTTTTAAAGGTTAATGTATAATTGGAGCAAATTGTTGACAAGCTTTAAATCGATTGATGACATTCAATGGTTAATTGGGTTGTAATGTTGCTAATTTATTGACGTCTTTTATTTTAACCAACAGTTGCAGTTTAAAAAAGATTCCTGGTGATTCTTTTGCCTCATTGTCCAATCTGGTTGAACTTGATTTGAGTTCAAATTATCTTGAAACAATACCAATCGAGGCCTTAAAAGATTCCCGTTACTTGAGGCGACTTCATCTTAACTCCAATCCGATCAAAAAAATTGATTCCTCGTCGTTTGTCCACCTTTCCTCTCTCCAGTTTCTTGATCTAAGTAATTGTGCCATCTCATCCATCCATAAAGATTCATTTCTAGGCCTTGAGAAGTTAAATTACCTGTTTCTCAATGGAAACAAATTAAGGTGAGTTTATCTGAATTTCACTAATTCCCATTTCAGTTGAATTCACCAAAATAACCAAAGCAAGCGAAACAAATTTTTCAATTTCCAACAATTGTCAACAAGATAATCCTCAATGTTATGCAAGGAAATGTCTTCAGGTTTTCTTGAGCTTTTTTCAGAATCATGTCATACTTATGAGTCAACATTTGATTCAATTTTGTGAGCAGCATTTCAATCGTTCATGGAAATAGTTAGTTGCTGGTTTGGATTGAAGATTTTTGTCATTTCAAGAAGCCATCCGATCTTGGGAGAAATCCTGGTTTTACTTTGACTTTTTTTAACTTGTTAGCTTTGTGGTAGAATCTTATTGTTTGGTACAATTTAATTGTTTAAATCAACGTTGTAAGCAAGGCGATAAACTATTTAATTCAGGATTTTGTTGGAGGATCAGTTGAAAGGCTGCCAGCGGAATTACATTCCCATAGAATTAAGAAAATTGATTTACAAGTTGGGTTGAGATTAACTCCATTGAAATCAGTAATCTTTCACTTTTCCAGTCAAAATGATTGCAATGAGAATAGTAGTTGATCCAAATGATTTAATGGTTATTCCAATTGTCATCTTATTGTCGTCCTTAATAGTAAACAAATGAACCAGAATCTTATTTCCTTGTAATCCAACATTGTTGACATCATTGACACCTGAAATTAAGTAAAGATGATAGAAAAAAAACAAAATATTGATCAATATTAAGGATTTGTCAATAGTTATGGTAATAAGGAAATGTAGTAACTGACCATTAATCCTTTCCTTTCACATTCATTTCTCATTAAAATCATTACAAATTTGATTCATGCTTTTCCATAGTTCTTATGCTTCTAATTTCTGGTAACGATTAGTGACTTCGACTCTGTATTAACTTGCAAATTTACTGTGGTTAAAGGCTGTAGGACCGATGACCGATGGTAGTAATGTACCGATAGGTTTAAATAGCCTAAGTTAACTTTAAACAAGGTTGTTAATGAAAGCTGCGGTTTCGGATTATCTGGTAAAACCGAAGGAGATTAACAATTCTTACTTTCTTTGTTTAAGCTTAAAAGATTAAGCTGTGGTAACCTGAAAAGGCTGTTATGAATTACTGATTCCAGTTGATATTACATGTTGACAATTCAATAGTCAAAGTTGAAATTTTGATGCTAAAGGTTTGGAAAGATGAATCAATCTTCTGAAGGCTTTTTTATGATATAATTGAGTTTGATTGTGAAAAATATGATTTCATTTCTCATCAACTACAAATACGAAACAACAAAATGTTTTCTTAGTGAAAAGCATAATCAGAATAATTAATCAGCCTGAATTGCATACAAATTACATTAAATCTACATTTTATCAAAAGATGAACATTCAGAAAGATCAAATCTTCATCTCTACACAGAATAACTCTTTGATTATTTATTGATTTTCAAGGTAAACTTACTGAACTAATCAGGAACAAGATCAAAACAATCTTTTATTGAAAATTATTGTAAACAAGAAAAGATTATGCATATTAAGATAAATATTTTCATCTGTTTTTGATATGTTTTTCATATTAGGCTCAGATTTTTGATTTAAAATTATAATGCAATCAAAAAAATCATAACAGCAACAAGAGACCAGAAAAACTGCCACTAGTCGTGATTCAAAGCTGAACATCTGATGTACTCTGAATATTACTGATTATGTATTATTTTTCGACAGGTTAGTTGAATTTATTCAGGGTTGATCATGCCAATTTAGCAATCAAGGCCAATGTAGTTAGTTAATGGACAGAGAAAGTTTTAAGTTTGTTTCAGATTTGCATGATTTTCAAGTCAACATTTTAACTCATCTTTCTCAAAGCAAGATCTTGATCTTGAATGGTCAATAAAACGTAAGAAGACCAGAATCTTTCAATTACTTCATTCAAGAGGTTGAACATCGATTCATTGTTTTCTGAAATCGAAATGAAAAATCTTATAATTAACTCATATCGAGAAACAAGTGACAGTTTTTTGATCTTTTGTGTGCTGATTTTGTCTGATTAATAAAAGTTGATCAAATCTAACTCACTTTTATTGCCTTAACAACAGGATTGATATATTATTTGATATATTTTTCACTTCATTTTTTCCTGGTAGTTCAACATTTCAAGATGAACAAAAATGAGTCCCAGAGATTTGATATCTTCTTGATCATCATCTTTACCCTGGAAAAAATGATAGCCAAAATGATAGCATTTGGATTTCATGTCAAATCTGGTTTTGATTTTCATTTGATACCAGAATCTAACAATTCTGTGGCTAACTATTATGGCTCAAGATTGGCAGTTTAAAGTTTCGCTTTTTTTCCGAGGAAACAAAATTTTACTTGAAATGAAACTTGATTGAAGATGATCATTTCTCATTCATCTTCAACTGTTTCTTGAATTCATCACCAAGATTGAGCTTCATCTCATATATACATTTATCTATCTATTACATTTGATGGGTTTTGACACATTTCATTTGTGTTTTGCTTACAATTTCATTTTACTCTTTCATCTAAAAATGAAAATTATCATATTATTCAGATTCAAGATTGACCGGGATTCCGTGATTCCATGATTTCTCAATTGTAAATCTAACCAATCAATGAGTTACTTTTCAATTGAACATGTGAAGGAAAAAGAAGGAAATTTTTCAAGAAAAAAGGACAAAATATTCAAATGTTATTCGCCTTATTTACATAATAACTTTCAATTCAATTTTTGTCATCCTAATGTTAAACTTAATCATTTATTGATGATCAAAAAATCAAATAATAAATGAAAAGTGAATCTATTGTGAACTGCTAATCAAATGTATTACAAGTTGTATTGATTTTATATCAAACTCAATGGAGTCGTAGTTGTAGTCAATATAATTTGATAGATTGAACAAGCCTAATTATTATAAACGATTAAGCTGATTACTTTAGATTTGGTTTGTTCATTTCATTTGTTAACTTAATGTCTATTCTGATTATTGGAAGGCAAAAGTCCGTGAGTTAATTTGAAAATAATGTATTTACATAAAATTAACTGAATTACTGAAAATTTTAGATATTTAAACGTTACCATAATTGAATTATTCAGATTGATAGTTTGAAGAAACTCGTTTTCACACAATCAAATCCTTTCTATGAGATATTTCAATAGATTTGAAATTAATCGATGCTCTCAGGTTTGAAACCAGGTCTAAATTAAAGAGCAGAGTTTAATTATCAGAGTAAAAATCAAAATGATTTTTTATATATTAAACAATTATTTGAAAAATAACTGGAAGAGGTTTGAAACTTCTGCCTTATGTATGTTTATGTTACATATGCAGAGCGAGAGAAGAAGCAAAAAAAAAGGGTAAAATAGGAACCATTTTTTACTTATTTCTCTCAATTTAAATTCAATTTGCCAATTCAGCCGAGAATTGAATTGAACTTTGAGCTGTGCTCTTATTTATACATAAGATGTATTTTTGACAACATGAAGAAGAAGAAGAAAAATGAAATGTAAAGAAAAGCTCAATAAGATGAGACACCAAAAAACAAAGGGTAACTTCACTTTCAAATCCAAGTCTTGTACTTTTTGCTTCAATGGTAAAACAGTAATTCACATATTCTGATTGAATCAATTTAGATTGTTAGTGACGATGTAATCTGATTGCATATTAACTCACATGCATATATAATACTTAAACATCATTCTGATTAATGGTAGGGAACATTGTCAAGAGCAGTTACTATCAGGCGAGAAAAGCACAAATCTAAACAACCTAAGAATCTCGAAATTAAAAGCTTACCGTTTCTGTTGTTAATTTGTAGTAATGTACAAAGTGCACCAATAAGTTGTTTTAATTCACAATTGTCATAATAAATTATGTGATAGAAATTGAAAATATAAATAAAAAAATTAACAGTAAAATAGCATTTAAAGATGAGACAACCCAAAGCTCTTTTACAACAATCCTTTATTTTCAAGTTGATTTTCCCTCTCTTTGTTTTAATACGCAGTAGATTCCCTCGCTAATACAGCTGATAGAGTTCAATTTTTTGATTGTTTTAAAGCGCTAATAAATTCATTTAATCTTTGATTGTTATTTTCTTAAACTCTAAGCTTGAAAATTCAGTAAATCTAATGACTTTATATTGACCTAATATTTGCTTGATTATTGTGCTGTTTCATCTTGTATTACATGTGTTTTTGTTTTACTGTCCTTACATAAGATTTTTTTACTCTTGATTTACAGAGAACTTTCTGGAGACATATTGAACTCTTTAGTTTCCCTAAAGCAGATAGATCTCCATGAAAATCATTGGTTCTGTGATTGCCGGATTCTTGACCTTAGATCGAGAATTGTTGACCGATCAATTTCAATTACAGTGCCTCCAATATGTGATAAACCGATCCGTTTGAAAGGTGCATCTTGGCAAAGTTTAGATCAAGATGAATTTGCCTGTAATCCAAAAATAGCTTCTCTAAATGGTGCCAAATTTATTGAAGGTAAGCAATAATTTTCAATTATATTGACAGTTTTTTTATTAGTCAACAAGTAGAGTTAAAAGTGCTTATTTATCTATTCTAATTCATTTTTTACTCCTTATCTGATCTACAGGACGAAATGGGACAATTGTTTGTCGTGTCCAGTCAACACCTTTATCCAATATTTCGTGGTATTTTGAATCACCTGTTGCTGCTAATCATTTAATTAAAAATGCTACTTATATGTCATTTGGTAAACAATACATTACCATTCGAGAAATTCTTAAGGATAATGTTCAAATTTCTAAGTTGATAATAACAAATACTATTGAAAAAGATGCTGGAAGGTAAATTTACTGTTTTAATTGCATTTACATTTTGTTTATTCGCGCCCAATTTCATCAATAACGAATTTATTTTATCATTTTCTTTCATCTTTTCATTAGGTATACATGTTATGCAGCCAATAAAGCAGGAAATGTATCAAGTTCAGTTATAATTCGTGTTATTCAGCCTGAAAATACTGGAGAAGAAAGCTTGGTTTTGTCTGAAAAAGATGAACAAGTTGGCATCATATTAGCCACCATATTGGTCTTCCTTTTACTTGTCCTATCAGCTTGTTTCATTGTTTTACGCCACAAAACATCCTTTTTGAGCAGTATTTTCAAAAGTTCACGAGGCCAGTCTGAAGTAATTGAATCAAATGTCATCTTAGATTCGTCGTATCTTAACCATAATTCAAAATCACCTATTGCCATTAATGATAATGAACATGACCAAAAAAGGTATATTCCTCACCAATCCACAAAATATTCAACTGGTACTACAGCCACAGTATTAGGTGCAAAGGATACAATTGTGATAACACAACCGAATGGATCAGCTGGAATAACTTCTGATACTTTAGTTAAAGTTTTTCAACCAAACCAACAATTAACAGTTGAAAACAACAGTCCAAATAATACTAATACTAATAAGTCACTCGATGAAAGTGGTTTTGAAAAGTGCCTTGAATCTTATTTGATGGTGTCTGAAGATGAAAGTATGTTACTTCCAAGCCGAACAAATGAGGTTAGATTTGATCCAATAATCCAACAAAACGATCAACAATTAACACAACAAGAGCAACAACTTGTAAATAACTGGGGCCAAGATGCTTATGATCAAGCAGTGTATTCAACTCGATCATTAAATCGACGATATTCTGATTCAAGTGCTACTTTAATGGTTAAACAACTCAATGTCAATTCATCTGGGGTTAACAATAGCCGGGTAACTATTAGAGATGATTCATTAGAGCTTCTTCCAAGAAATGATAATCAGAATAGCCAAACAACAACAAATGAACGATTTAGATCACGGAGATTATCAGAAGGAGTGATTTCTGGTCGAATCAATAGTTTGTGGAATCGTAATAACGTTAATCATTCCAACCAACCATTATCTTCGACTAATAATATTTATCCAAATGAAGATTATAACAATTGGACTGTTGGTGATAGTGGACAGGTCGTTGTTAATGGTGACTCTAATTATTTTAAAGGTAATTTTATTGGATCAGAGAAAGAAAGCTTGTTAAGACGAAATGGTTTCACAAATGTGGATTATTCAACTCTTCAAGCACCCCGTCGCTGCTCAAAATCAGGTCTATCGTCCCAATTTAATAACACGCCAACATCTAATTATTTAAGAGCTTTATCATTGGAGGATTCACTAAATCCAACCTTTCCAGTTATCCATGAATCAAGTAAAGAATATGAAAGTGATTTTAAAAATTGAAAATGACCGTCTATCAAATCAACAAGCATTAATGTCCTTTGCTTTAATTTCAATCCTATTGGTTTGACTTTTTCACTCTAAAATGTTTTAAGGATGGAAACCAAATGTCAAATTTATTGAATGATGCAATAAGATCTTCAGAATTTAATCATTCTATTGATCTTATTGTGAAGTAACAATCGATTCAATGATTTGGATAAAAGCAAACTAGTAAGATGAATGAAATCGATAACCTTTGCTTGACTTTTTCAAATTTGTTTTGGTAATGAGAAACATTGACAGATTAAACTGTCTCATTACATTACAGAACATTATTGCATCACTTATTGATATAAAATTAAGATTGTTATTACGAAAAAATTGATATAATCAACATGTAATTTTATTGGCTTATGTATCAAATTGAATATAAATTCATTAAATTAATTGTAAAGAAACAACTCAAAAATCTTTCAATTTTATTAAACATTTAAGAGGTTATCGGATAGTAAAATATAATACAAAATTAATTGCAATTTAACTAAACTTGAAACCTAAAAATTTATCTAAAACATCATCATTGAGGCGTCATCTGGAGTTAACCTTTCAAACCTTTTGGGTAAACCATCATTTGAAATTGACATTCAGGTTGAACAATTAAATGCTGATAAATCAAAAGATATTATCTTCACTGGTTTTTGGTATTCTTCCTAACTTTCAACAATAATTATATCACTGACCTAAAGATTTTATTATCTCATCATGATTGAAATCTCTCAAATAACCCGAAGTCAAAGATATTATCTTCACTGGTTTTTGGTATTCTTCCTAACTTTCAACAATAATTATACCACTGACCAAAATATTTTATGATTATCATCAAAATTGATCGTCTAAATGATTAACATGATCGTTACCTTAATTGTCCGATTTTATTCCACCTATCGAGACATTGATGCATTGATTAAAAAACCCCAAGTGATCAAACAGATGTGATAATATCTATAGTCAATTGTTGTTTTCATGTGTTTTCAAGATTTCGTTTTTTGTGTTTCTTACTATTTTTAACGTAAGTATTGAAATAATTCATATAACTTTCATGTAATTTGATAAACAAGTATTAATAGTCTGGTTATTTTTAATCCATCTCGGTGAATGAACGAACTAAGATTAATAATAATTGTAAATTTGTTTATCAACACATTAATATCCAAACACTTTTTCACACCAAAAATAAACAAGGATAAACACCTCCGGTAATTAATCATCCTTACCCAATTGTTATTACAATTTGTTTGTTTATTCCTTGCTTAATTTGTTGATTAATCCGTGTCTCTCTTACTCTTACCTCTCTTTATACTGCTGATCAACAGCGTCTAGGTATTAATAGTTATGGTTATTAACTGCTTGTCGCTGATATGCTTGGGTATTGGTCACTATTCAAAACGTCCTTGTGAGCAGCAAACAAATTTGCCATTAAATGTGAAATTATAATAAAGTTGTTAAACAACTTTCATCACAGCCTCATCTCAATCAACCGATAGCATGGTTAATATTATCACTTGACTCAGGCCATTTCATTCAGAACATTTAAACTCCGCCTTCAATTCCTGGCAATATATTAACCATCAACTTTAGACCCTCAATCAATTTGCGATTCAACCACAGCAAAGAAATATCTTCATCGAAGTAATATTGTCATAATTTTCATCTTACCATTCAACTTGATACTTAATCAATCAAAATGAATTTCTTGTTAATTGTTGCCTGTTTTTCACTTTCATCAGCTGCTTACGGACTCGAGCCACCGAGAAAACCATGTAAGAGCTCAACTTTTGTTATTCCCAACCATTTACATTGTGAATTTGTGCATTCTAACCAGTGTTGTTATTATTCTTAACCTTTCTCTATTTGCTTTTTAGGTGAAAAGGTTGAACAACATTCTGATCTAGTCAGCGTTGTGTCCTACAACAATGCTAATGCAACTTCATGGCAAGCTACACCAGGAAAAGCAATGAAAGTTGATTTCATTTTCAGTAAGTAAATAACTAATCAAAATTTACTCATTCATCTACTCCAATTTCAGGCTCATCATAATTTATCGAAATTGAAATGAATCAGTTTTCACACAGTTACATCCGTCGACCCATAACACTTAATGTAGCTTCTATTCATTTATTAATTATTGACAATGGTTGGATCAATACATGAACTTAAACCTTACAATAATGAGAATCACTTACCAGAATCACTTTCTCCTTCAATCATTACCAGCTTCAAGTTATTGCTCAATTATTATTAATAATTCAAGTCAGTCAAAATTAATGAATCTGCTCATTAGTCGAATGTCCGCTATTAATTAGAGAGTCTTTTCACAGTAAATTGACCATATTAAGGATAATGGAAAGTTGAACTTTAATTAAATGGTAGGAGTACAGTTAATTTAATCCATACTTTTCTCTTTAATTGCTTAAACTTTTACAGCTGCGAAGGAAAATATTGGTAAAATTGAACAAGCAATTTATGCTATTTTGGATCCAAAAGGTGGTCCTGGAGGGAAACCTCTTGAAGTATCTTACGATAAGGCTGAAGATGCCTGTAAATTCATCAATTCAACTTCATGTGTAACTGAAGGAATCAAGAAAAATAAACCTTACAAAATGTCATTATCTTTTGATGTTCCAGTTTCAGTGCCAAAGGTAAGTAATTGTGTCCACTTTCCTCCACTGTCCATCATAACTAGTCAATATCACTTCAACTCAAAATTATTAATGCTTAAATTACTTTAAATTGTCAAATATTAATCAAATTTTCATTAATTACAGATTGCTCTTGAAGTGAGATTTGTTGTTAGAGAATCCGTCAATAGCAAAAGATTAAATCGACTCCAAAGAATGAATTGGCTCAAACATCCCGGTAAAATTTTACTTTGTTATCGACTTCCAGTTCAAGTCATCTAATTCTGATAATTAATTTATTCGTTGATTGGTTCAGCATTCATCATTTGAAGCTATTTATTTTCATTTCTCATTCTCCGTCAATTAGATATATCCAATTTATATTAAAATTATATCTAATAGATTAAAAAATTTTCAATAAATTGCTTTTAAAAGTCAAAGTTGTCTTGATTTCTATGTAAAATTATAACGGATTTTGAATTGTGAACAAAAATATTCATAAATTTTGTTTCAAGTTGGATGTTAGTTTGACCCATGATTCGGTATATGAAGCCTTGAAGGGCAAAAATCATGATTCTTAGATGTCCAGATGAGTTTATTAATTGTGTTTATTTAACCAGAGAAATAAAGATACAACGATTTAAGGATACTTTTGAGGAAAGACTTGGATTAATTACACCGATCAAGTAAAACTTTTATTAAAAGGTACTCAACTGCAATTAATGGTTGTTTTGAATGAAATTACATAATATATTTTGTAAAGATCGAAGCCAGAGGCATAAAAATAATTTTCCGGTGAGCTTTCTCGACCTTTTTGCATAACATGTATACTTTGTATGCATAGGCAATGAGTCTATTAGTTGCATAAACAAGGAAGCCCGGGAAACTCCCTCTAGTAATGTTTTCATGGTAACGTCTTCGTCATAACGACTAGTTCAGACAGTAATTCAGTTTTGTATCATTTACTCAAATATAATCAGGTTTTAAATTAAGAGTTTAAATTATTTTCGAGAACCAACTTAGATCATCGCATTCGCTCAATATTTTTTGCTAACTGCAGCTTGTTAAAATAGTAAGATTAAATTTAGATTCCAAACCTAAACCATTAGATTCTTATTTACGGAAATTTTTTATAAATCCATGGGCGATTACTCCGATCTGGATTTGATTATCTCATTTTGAGATGCTATATCAATATGGCCAACTAGATGAAGAGTCATACATCTCTGATGGTTATTTGAGCTGTTTGAGCTAGTAGCCTTGACTAAACATGTAAAACAGGTTTCCATAGTAAAATAATTCAATAGACAAATTATGTTGATGGCGATGCACTTAGATAGCACAGCAATAGATAATGGGAAGCATGACCAGAGTAAAATATTGAGAGGAATGATGAGAAAATATATTGATGAAGAATCACAGACAATTCACAGAACAGCCGCCATGCTATTAAACGAGTTAAAAGATGGAGAGATGTGTTGGAAAGATAAAAATTTGAGAAAATTTTCCTCAATTACTGGTATAAATTAAGAAATTCATTAACAAATTAAATGGTATTGCTTTTGATGCCATTCCTTAGAATTGATAGAGATTCACAAGTTTTTTTTGCCTCATCAGTAGGTGAAAGAATTGATAACAATGATTGATGGTAATAGGTTTGATTTTGATTGGCTTGAAGAAGTTACGAACGATAATATCAAGGGTTGTACCAATCAAGAAAAAACAAGGTAAACGAAAGAACGATATTGACAAAAAGAATCCATATTCTAAGTTGTCCTTTGTTTTTGATTGCAGACCTCAGTTCTTCATTTCCAACTCGAATATTTGAGCTTGTTTCAACTGCTGTTCCATGGACTCGCTGTATTTCTTCATCTTGTTGTAGAAAGTTTTGTTGGAAAGTTTTGTGTAGCTGGGCAATTTCATAAACATTTCCTTCGATTTGCCTAGATAGTGATATTAAATAAGGATGAGTAAAAATGGTTAAATTTCAAGCGCTTCGTACTTACTTTGTTTCAGCTTCGAGAAGATTAATATCAGCGAAAAGTTTATCATTTTCCTTCTCGAAGATTTGTAATTCTTCTTCGGTAAACTGACCAACGTCGTAATTTGAAGAATAATCTAAATCCTCATTAAAAGACGAAGCCCCGTTTTTGTCTAAAGATGATACAGGATCGTCTTTATAAGCATCAATGAATTCGTCATTTTCTATATCACGGATATAAATAAAATCATCTGGATACGGTTCTTTGTTGAATAAATCACGGTCCAATCGCGCGAGCTTTTGTTTATCGGTAATCCTTCTAATTCGAAAAGCACGAAGGTCAGAAAATAAATCACAAACAACTTTTAAATAAGTTTCAATAGATTCAATGATGGCAGTCATGGTATCACGTCTTTGAACACTCATTCGGGAGCCTTTTTTCTTAACTGTAAATAAAATAAAATAGATGTAACTTAATTTAACAATTTAATCTAAAAAGGATGTCAAATTTGTTAGATATCGGGGTGTTGAGCTCTATTGGTCAAAGATAAACGATAGATTTGATTAAAACATCTAGCATCTAGATTAAACACCATCGAGGTTCAATGGCTTGAATTTTAGAATTAAGAAGTTAAAAATTTGAAATAACTTAATTTGAAAGACATAAAAGAGTTAGTTTCAGATTTTTTGTTTGTTCTGTTTTTTCCTGGCTAATAAAGCTCATTTAACACCCAGATCTTCAACAATTTGGCGTATGACACAGCTTTCTTACTATCAGCTTTAAGGGATTCAATTTTGGTTTGACAATTCTTCATAGATTCCACCATATCTTGATCAATCTGATCTCTTTCCATGTCACTCATGTTGGATGCCTGATTAGATAGTGAACTGCTACTCAAGAAAGGTACAAAATAAGGAAAAAGCATAAGTAAGATCACTATTGGGCTTGAGCAATCAAGGATTCTTCAATGAAATTGTTTGATGAGGAAAAGGCTAATAACTTGAATAGGTTGGCTTAAATCGGCAATGTAATCACAATCTCAAGTGGATAATATCAACATCCTAGTTGTTGATTAGTTCATAATTTTTCATATTTGATTATTAGATGTAACTTACAACATGTCAATATAATCTCTTCTCCTCTCGATGAGAAATTTTTTCATGTCAGCAATGGTTTCGACCAAATTTTTAGCTCGTAAGCTTAATTCTTTAAACTGTTTAGTATTACGTTGAAATGAGCTCTTGGACGATAAAGAGGACAGTAAAGCTCCAAGCGAATCAGCGGTTGAGTTACCAGATGATTGTAGACTATCTTTCCCTTTGTACTTTATTGAATGTAGCTTCTGTTCAAAAACTTCACTCAAATCTATTGACATCTTGATGTTATAATTGTTGACAATCTGACTTATAAAAAATATCTTTTTAAAAATAAATTATTATTAAACAATATAAATATATTCACAGAAGTTGAAAACAAAATATAATCTCATTTTGTCATCAAAAACAGATTACAGCTGTAAACGATTAAAGCGCAAGCTCAATTGATGTGCTGCAAAAAGCAAATAGATTTTACCGCAATCTTTAAATCCTAAATCAAAGCTTAAGTTTAATTCAATTAGTTAATTACTATTTAAAACCCATTAAACTATTTCTAGCTTTTTTCAATCCAATATAAATTGATGAATTTTCGAGCAATATCTTCAAAGGTCATATCAAACAAAATGAAATAAAGGACAATAGCCGAATCGGCCCATAATTCAGATTTTTTTGTACCATATATCAATCGGAAGCTTATGACGAGTAGAGTATACCTCCCTAAAAATCAGGTCGAAAATCGAATCCCCTGGGGAGTTATTCATCAACTCCCTTGGGACCCCATGAGGGACCATATCAGACCCAATTTTTTAGATAGAACTTTTTATGCTGAATCCCGTGAATACTAAGAAGGATGCTCTATACCTGCGATATTTTGAGAAAACACACTTTGAAACTTTT